AGTTGGCTATCTTTAAACAGTATTTAAATTTTAAGCAAAGATTGATGGTGACTAGCAGTGAAATCCAGGATTCATAATTCATCCTATTTGGGATTCGTCAACTAGAAGTACTTTCATCCAGAGTTGATATTTACTCCTCATGCCACTGTTATTCACTATCCAACTTTGCATATAATGATTGCGACTTAAGGCAATATCGAGGCAATCTAAGCTGGATGCACATATGTCAATAAGAGACTGAATAATTGCGGCCCTAAACACCAGTGAGAAGATACAAATCAACAATACAAACTGAATTAAGTATTTCCATTTGACCTTATGTTTTCTTAAGAACGATATGATTTACAGTCAGTTATTCTTCAGTAATTGATTTTGTTATATTGATGCTAATGATCTGTATCTTGTCCATAAATGACACAGTAAGTGAATTGATTCCTTCTGTATTCATTCTATCAACTATTATTTATTTGAATATACACACGAACAGAAACCATCAAAGACTGTTTCCAAGTTATTTATTCATATAGCCTAATCCAGGCAAGTTTTGTGCTTTATATGCCTGAACATATTTTAGTTAAGGAAAACGCTTGATAGTCTTGATGAATTCCAATAAATTAAAAAAAAATTTGTGAAGGGAATAAATGTTTGTTCAGCACATTAAAAGTCGTAATCTCTGTAATAACATGGGAAAATGAAGCATTCACAAACTTCTCAGTTGTATTAAACAATTGCGATCAAATTAGAAATATTGATAAATTCCTTATCTCAATGGTCCTTTGAAATTTGATATTGTTCATTTTAAAAAATACATTTATGAGCACATAAAAATGGGTGTTTCTTTTTTCATGATAACTCAGTTCATATACTACTGAACAGAAAGAGATAATTTCAAAAAAGCTATCGATCCTTAGAAATAGTTGAGCAATCACTTTTTAATATATATGATAACATCTTATCTGTTATTTGATCAATTAACCAATATTTTGCTTCTAGAATGTATCTTTTCCAAAGTTTTTTGGATTTTTCTTTTTGACAATGCACGTATTAAGTTTACTGTTGTTACTCAGTCACGAAAATCTGACAAATAGTGTCATCATTGTTCATATTCGTGCTGAAATGTCAGTCATCGAATTCAAAACTCATTTTGTAAGCTACTATATTCGATATAATAGAATGTTTCGCTTATCAGACTCATTGTAATAATGAGAAAACACTATTCTGAAAGTGAAGAATTTTCTCCATGATTCTATAGACAACTGATGACAGATTTGCTTTTAAGGTAAACATACTTGCGTTACATCCATGGTTGTATTTATCACAAATTGACATCGTCTGGTGAACCACTGAATAACAACGCACAATAGATGTCTGTTAAGTATTAGTATTTGATTTATTGAAAGATCTTAACTGTAACCACTTATTCGATAAAATCCTAAGTTTTTACTTCTTGAAATGCTTAATGAAGAGCTGGTCATCCATTTTTTCAGTAACTATTAGGTCGATATTCCTCAAGTTTTTTCGCAATTCTACTTGAAAAGTTTTTCTCCTTAGAGAAGGGACATAACTTAGAAGCTCTACGACGAAATTTAAGAGTTTCCGAAAGCCAGTAGGTCGATGTCCTCCTGATAACCAGAGCGACCGTTTATATTACGTATGTTGAAGGTTTGGACAATTTAGGTGCCCTGTAGGGTCATGAAAACAGCAGAAAGAATTCGGGATATGCATGTGTGGAGTTAGAGAAACTTATTGAACAACATCTGTACTAAAACGACTGACTTCAAGATGTCTGTTATTGATTCTGATTACTGTGAATTAAATGACCACACCCCCTCAACACAGAAGGAGTAGATCTGACGCTATCCAAAAAACATGAAAATCGCCTATGGGATGCGAAATCTGTGACGCTAGGGACCTAAAACCACTCTTCAAAGAAAATAAGAAGAGAATACGTGAATTTCATCCGGTTCAATACACCTACCGGTGATACAAAAAAAGATGATAAAGATTAGTTATAGGGAAGATTGTAGCATTATGAAGGCTTAAGAAGCGACAGAATAAAGAGTAGATTCCTGTAGACAGTCTGTAGAAATAAAAAATAACAAGATAGAAATTAATAACTCACAAATAAGAACAGAATAAACGAAGCCACAAATGGAAATATATAAAAGACCCGACAGAGACAGTAAACTAAGTTACAAGAAAAGGAAACATTTACGAATTAATTGGTGCAGCCAAAAGGGTAGGAAAGGGACTCGAAATCCACCAGAGGTAGAAGCAGCACACGCAGACTTGCCGTATATGTCACTTCACCGACTATCGAAGAGATCGGGTTAGCCACCAGGCAAATCAAGAGTGGGAAAGCAACATGACCTGACAGTACACCAGCCGAGGTACTAAAGTCAGACATTGAAGTAATTGCAAACATGATTCACACTATTCAGGATGATTTGGGAGGAAGAACAAGTGCTAATGGACCGGAAAGAAGGATATCTCATCAAGATAACAAAGAAAGGAGATCTGATCAAATGTGACAAGTACAGAGGCATCACATTACCATCGATACCAAGAAATTTCCTCAACAGAGTGTTGTTGAACTGGATGAAAGATTCAATAGATATTCGACGTTAAAACCAACCATCTAGTTTTCGTAAGCGTTAACCACAAAATGAATAAATCGTGATACTTTAGACCATTGTACATCAATCATTTGAATAGAAATCTTCGTCCTTCATTATGAGAAAGCATTTGACAGCAGGGATAAGGTAATCTTCTTCGACACTATGGTGTACCTGAGAAAATCTTCAAAATCATATGCAATGCTTATGACGAACAACACTGAAAATTCGTGGATAAAGATCAAACAAGGCTTCTTTCTCTTTCCCCGGTGATCGACTGAATTATGAAGGCATCCACACTGAATACAATGGACAGCTTGCAATGAAATAAAAGATTCAGACTTCGCAGATGACCTGGACCTTAGATCCTGAAGACATCAGCAAATGTAGATGAAGACGACTAGTGTAGCATTCTCAACATACACATGGGAAAAACCAAGATTCTGAAGTAAAAACGAAGAACACAAACCCAAATAAACTTGATGGAGAAGCTCTGGACGAGGTGAAAAGATCTCTGTAACTAGCCAGCACCATCTATACACAAGGAGGACCTGATGCAAATGTGAAAGTAAGGATTGACAAAGCAAGGACAGCATTCCAAAATCTGAAGAACATAAAGAAATTAAAACAACCATCAGCTGACATCAAGGTCACAATCTTCAATACGATCGTTAAGACAGTTCTACTGTATGAAGCTGAAACATGGAGAACGACCAGAACTATCATCGAAAATGTACAATTATTTATGAACAATTGTCTAAGCAAGATACCATCAACAACAACCTACTGCAGAAGAGAACAAACCAGCTTCCAACTGAAGAGGAAATTTTTAAAAAGACTCTGACGTTGAGTAGGATATTACATAAATCGCTAAACTTCATTGGGAAGCAAGCCCTGACTTGGAATTCGCAAATCAAAAGATATGAGTCGAACCAAAAGACATATTGCGATGGGAATGAGAAACAGAAATCAAAATATTGAAGAGTAATAAAAAATAACTAGAAAGTCGGGCCTGGGACAGAGTCGGTTGGGGATCCCTGGTCAGAGGCCTAAGACCCTCGTGACGAACAGATTTAATAAGTCAAGTACTTTTTATATTTATTATTTCTTAAGGAAACATTTGTACGAAACTTAAGAAAACTACTATATACAAATACATTACTTACTAGAAATAATTTATAAATATATAACTCAAGTATACGAAGATTATTTATTAGACTGAACGGTTTATGATATAAACAGAAGGCCAATTATATTAAACAGAATTATTATTAAAATAAGAACAGTTAAGCTAATCAATAAGATAAAGTAACATTATATGTACTACTGTTTTATTGAAGGTAAAAGTTATCATCAGAAGGGGTTTTGTGGAGATTTTAGAAATTTCACTGATTGAAATCATAAGTCAATTGAAGCTAGAAAACTTGGAAGAACTGAACGGCCATTTCGTCCTAATATGGCACTCCCCAGCACTGCGCATCCACGATCCCGTCCCTCGAGAGATTCGAACCCAGAACCTATCAGCGCTTTGCCACTAAACCACTGAGTTGGCGTGCAACGGTTTTAATGTCTAACTTCAACCAATCCACAAATCTCGCGGGAGGAGTGGGATCGTGGATGCGCATTGTTGAGTCCCATACTATAACGAAACAGCCATTCAGTGCTTCCAGGTTTTCCGTTGAGGTCCAACTTCAATTGCCTCATCATTTCAATTATTGTAACAACTATCTATTGACAAGTCTCAATAAACCAAGTACAATGGACTATTTTTATTTTATTTTATCAATTCATGTATATCAGTTTTATTCTGATGTATCAGATTATTATTATTATTTTTGTCTAATTATTATTATTTATCATAAAATAGAAATGACTTAATTTGCTTTTCTTTTCCGTTTTTTTTTCTTTTTCTTAATTTTTTTTTTCTTTTGGTTTCTTATAAACCTATAAACTTTGAAAAAATATACACAGTGTGTCTATCTTATTATAGTTGATTTTTATACTATTTGTTACATGTGTATAAAAGTGAACAATTACAAGTTTTTTGATTGGATAAATTTAGATAGTTTTATTTATTTTTTACTTTTTCTCTATTTCATCTATATTACTTAAATGTGTTTGTAAGTGTATGTGTTGAAAATTTCTACTTCAAGTTTGATGTTAACTAGTCATAAAAGAATTTCTTAAAAGAATCTATAAATTCTTAGAAAAATTACTTAGGAATCAACAGTTGTCAACGAAATATTAAACTTTTTAATGACAATAATGTTATAAATAAATCATTTCTTATGAATCAGTTTTTTGATATGATACTGATGATTAGAATGAAGTTCAATTTGGACTAAATAAGAAATATTAGAATATATATCAAAGATTATTTTCATTATGAATATATTACATTACACAATATTGACTAGTTTCATATATGTTTATTCCAGTAAGTTTATTTTTTTATATTTGATTAACTAAATCTACTCAATTTTTACTAACATTGTTGTTTTAATTATAAACATTATGTTTACTATTTACTGACAGTAAAATAACAACAATGTATTACAATTGAAATGTCTACATTCTAATAACTTATATGTTTATTATAGTGGAAACAATCTATTTAATGATCTTATTTAGTTATCAATTTACAAATATCGGCTTTCTATTGATAGTCTCTATTTATAGTTATAAGATGTCAAATGAAACAGCTTTCATGGATGGTAATTAATAACCCCTAAAAAATTGATTGCGATCATACAACACATAAATTTTTGAGTTCATTGATGAGAAAAATGTTTTTGATTTTTGGAAATTAGTTACTGCGTAGTGCAAATATTTTCTCAGATGAGAATACAATTTATGGATGACCCTCCAGTGACCTTGAGAATGAGGGTTATAAACTAGTATGAGGAATTATGATTAATATTTACATTTGATATTTAGGGTTAAGAATTAGATTTAGGTTAATCATCAGGAACCGATTTCCATTCTAATGCCAAAACTCTATTCAGTCAAATGAATTAATTAATAGTGCGCGAAAATCCAAGACCTGTTATCGTAAATCTGATTGTTTCGTCCATAAGTTATAGTCTCATCTTTTCTCATCAGCTTATTCTTATGATCGTATAGTCAAACGTTCAACCAATAATAAATATTCGTTAATTGTGCATGAATGGTTAAATGTTGAGAAGAAAAAAAGATTTTGAAACTTGCGTTGTCACTTGAATATTTAGTGTCAACCTAATTGAACAAGTATCAAAAATGAATTGTACTAAACTATTGATATTTTTCTGCTCAATCTGATTAATTCATCCTATTGATGTAAATGATGATTTGAATATTAGTTATTCTTTCTAGAGTTTACCTTTCTAATACACAGAAAGCAGATAAACACGCATAAAAAGCATATTTTAATAGTCTGACAAATTATTTATATTGCCATTTAAGTTTACTAAAACGGAATAGTTAAACGTTACATAATTTTACTGACTTTCTGATAGATAAAATTATAGCCATTTCTAGTCTATAATGTATAAGATTTGTTGATGAATAAAGATGTTTGAAAAATATGATCATTATGCCACTATTTATCAATTTGTCAAATGGACTTTCAACTGAAGAAATAATATTTGTGTATTAATTTGATTTGATTGGAAAAAGATTTTACAAAATCTACTAATCAGAGGTTTGAAAAGGTGTTGAGCTGAAATATAAAATCTGAGTGGGATCGATTGTTTTTATTACAAATAATTCTTTAGATATTCTAATAAAGTTTTTAGTTATAAGGGATATAGAATTATGCACATTTATTTTACAAATTATGTTTCAAAGAGAAACAAAATTTGATCTAATCATGATCAATGTCTATTAATACGAGTCTACTTCAAGGTTACTTTTTCAATGCTTCACCTGATTTGTGCATAGCATGTTGAACATGTCACTTATTGAAATGTTAAGTCTTAGCGGTTACTACCAAAATAAATCTAGTATATCCTAAAGTACACTGGTTATGCCTAATCCCAAATATCTTTCTCAAATAATTTTATTAGATGTTTTAGAAACACCACATTGTTTTCCACTTGAAGTCCTTATAAGCCAAATCATTTCACTATAGTTCAATATTAGACATGTTGAAATCTTTACGTAGAAAAAATCAACTTCCACAAACAGAATTAGACAGTTGTTTTATGGTAATTAATATGAACAACCTAGCAACCGATTTTCTCTTATCACGTGTGATTGGGTTATATGATGTTTACATACGAAATTGTAAAAATGAATTACAAGGTTTTTTCTTCATCACTCTAACAATTACGAAATTCCGGCATGACGTAGGAAGTTTTATTATTGAGGTGGGACTTTATCAACAATATCAAAAGTCATTTAACTGGATTTATTTTCATGCAAACTTTTTTTAATTCCATTGGGTATACTGAAACCAATAATATCAAACTGATGGAATATGAGCAATATGCTTGTATTGAAAATACAAAATTATCTCGATAGACATACTATTTCAGAGCAAACAATGAATAAACAGTTGGCATATATACATATATAATATTAAGAATTAAATAATAAAGATTTTCTAAAAATTTATGGTATAAGTATAATATACTTGAATGACTTGACAACCAATGGGGAAAAGTTGCGCAGTTAGAAACTAATGAACAACAAAAAGCAATAAACTGACGGCGGAATAATAGCTTTGATCTGAATAGTTAATCTTCACATGACAAATTATTTTATATGGTAAAGGAAGAAGGTCAAAAGTACATATTGGGAGTCAGGATACCATTCTGAATTCGGGTTAGGTATTGACAAGTTTAAATGTTGATGGTTAACGCAGCAAGATACGATTTAGTAACTTATGTACACATAATTCATACTTGACACTTAATCCTCTAATTACAGAACCAGGGGTATGTGCTTTGATTTTTATTTGAAAAACAATAATTTATGATTAAATTTTACGTTAGAGACTAAAAAATAAAATATCTAAAACTATTCACTACAGTATTTATTTGTTTATATTTTCACAATATTTGAAGAAATTTTAAATGTATTACATAACAAAATACACAAAATTGCAAAACGAAACGGGACGCATTATTTGTTTTTAACTAATAATGCTTATGTTCTAGTATTTATCCATACCTGATTAGCTTTACAGTCACAACTAGACATCATGTCTTTATGTGTGAAGATAACTTAATAATCTTGAAAATGATTTATTATCATCTTAAATAGTTTGACAAGTACTTTTTGACGCTCTATGTTTCATTTTCCATTTTTTCAAAGATTATAATTAGATTTTTACTTATATTGTTTCTAGAAAACACATTTTATTAAATGTTACACTGATGGTTTCATATTAAAATGTATTATTGTATGATCGAATGCGGATAATTTCATTATTCCTTTCTTAGATAATTACTTTCAAACTAATATTCATGGAATGACTTGGATGAGATTTTTCAAAACTTTTAGATTATTTTAACCACACAAATGACCTTTGACTATTTTATCTAACATAGTTCTAATGTATGGTTGAAGTCATTTTTCATTTTCCGTTTGTTAGTCAATAACATAGTGGAGGTAGCATAAGTTTAAGTGGCTGAGAACTCGTTATTATAAGCTTTCGATGCTAGCCCCCGAATGCCCTGGTACGGTCGAAAGTGAGGAGGGTCCGCTCTCCCTCTCGAAATGCTCTCACATGACCACGAGTATATAGCCACTGCTAGGGAAGTCCTGCTCACTATCTTCTCTTGGCTGGGGTGTTCTTTACGAAATTGAGAGCACGAAAAGCGAATGTCTGGCGCTTTAACAGGGTTGGTGGACATGGAGAGTCCACCTAGAGGAGTTGGAAAACCCTGATTCTAAACCAATGGTACACACGGGCTCCAAGATCCTGGGGGAACAAATGGCGTATGAACCAATTCATGGTCACCGGCTACCATGAGACTGCATCTCCTGACGTTGCTCCATTGCCTTGTGGATAAGATTTTTGGACCGAAGGCTCCGGGCATGGCCTCCTAATAAAACCACCTGCTCCATTCTGGGCACCCGGGCAGTTTCACAGCCCTCACACATATCAAATGAGATTTGTGTGGCGCATATATATTTGGTCCCTCCTTGTACCAATATCAATGTGTTAAAATCAATAAATAAATTTCGATTCTATTGATTATATTCACGAGAACTACAAGAAAGTTAAATAATATAGCTTCAAACAACTCACAATAATATCTTATTGATAGTTATAAATTTTTATACATTTATTAGACGGCCTACCACAGTAGAGCTATACGTTTTAATGAGAAAGTATGTGATCTTGATCAATAAATTGTTTCTTTAATTATTTCATTGTAACAGAATAATTTTGTTTCGTCTATAGTTAGTTCATATAATCACAGATGTTTAGTCATTCATAAGGATGGAGTGTATAACTTATTAGAAACTAAAGATTGAAATAACTGTCTTTTTATATGTGAGATACTAAGAATTAGTTAGTGAGTAGTTTGTGATGAATCTTTAGATATGAAAGTTTCATTTGCTATTTTGGTTTTTTTTTTTCATTACTGTATACTCTCATTTGTGCTTCAGTCCATTTTAACTCTGCATGAACCTAATTTCCACACGCCTTCACATAAATGTACGATATAGCTGCATATTTATATATTTGTATAATATACATACATATATGATTATTACCCTTTTGTTTATATCCGGCAACGCCCATTTATAAGAAAAGAATAGAAATTTGCTTCTAGAGACAAGATTATAACAAACAAAACTAACTTTATCTATGTAATAAACAATTACAGAGCCAAGTTAGTTGAATAAAACATTTCATGAAATAAATATAACTACATATTGTGTATGTAAAATTGACCGGAAATCATTGAAATTAAATAGATATATTTTATGTTAACACTAAGAATTGATTAAAACTGTATAATGATGCGGTGAAAAATAAGTTCAAATGTGATTGAATTTAGAAATAAATTAGGTTATTGAATAAATAAATAATCTTGTTTTACAATTACGTATATACAAAAGGTTATTGATAAAGTGTTTCCGAATAATTCAACAACAACAAAAATACCCTTCTCACAATAGGTGGCTAAAAAAATGGTTGCTGTTTTACTATAGTACAAGCCAGAATAACTAAAAAGAAATAGAGAGATGAAATAAATTCTTAATGATTAAGATCACGAGTCAGTTGAAGCTAGACCACCATGGAAAACCTGGAAGCACTGGACGGTCGTCTCGTCCTATTGTGAGGCCCCTCAGCAATGCGCATCCACGGCCTTGCCCTCTGCGAGATTCGAACCCAGGACATACTGGTTTCGCGCGCGAGCAATTAACCTCTAGACCACTAAGCCGGCCGGTATCCAACTGTGTTAATGTAAAACTTCAACTAATCCACGAAATTGAGCGACACATCCACCAATGTCTTCAGTGAGTTACTATCTCACAACAGACCTGGTTGAACTTCACTGGTCACTAATTCTCATTAGGACTCCAGGATATACCTCGTGAAGCCAGTCACTGAGTTCGAATCTCGCAGGGGGCGAGGTCGTGGACGCGCACTGTTGAGGAGTCCCACAATAGGACAAAACGGCCGTCTAGTGCTTCCAGGTTTTACATGGTGGTCTAGCTTCAACTGACTCATGATCTTAACCACTGAAATTACTACAATCTCCACAAAACTCATCTGAAATTAATTCTTTTAATAATCCAATTTTCCAGTATGTAATAAGTATATATGAATTCATCTATTACTATTAACAGTAATTTTGCTATAAAATTATATAAGTATGCATAATGAATTTAGACAGTCATTCGATTCAAAACTTTGAAATTAAACCTTATATGAATTATACTCAATGCTTTTACTTATCCATTTCCAATAAGAAAAAGAGCCTGTTACAAGTATCGAATTTCTTGACGAGACTATAATTTATGAACGAACCAATCAGATTTAAAATAACAGGTCTTAGATTTTGGTGCGAGATTCATTCATCCATTTATCTAAATAGCGTTTTGGCATTTTAGCCTATATCAATTAGTGTCGAAAACCACAAAACTAATTCCTAACCCTGACCATCAACTGTAAATTATAACCTTTATCATTCAAACTGTTTTATAGACCAAATTTAGCACTATTAAGTAGGTGGATATAATTAAGGTCACATTAGCGTCCCTCAAATTTCATCCATAAATTATAAACCTAACGATTTCTTCTTTTACGTTTAAAATTATTGTATTTAAATGGTGTAATGCTTTATAAATTAGTCACAGCAAAAGTTAACAATGCAAACTTATTTAAGTAGATCCATCACTACCAACAAAAGATATTAAGTTTACTTAAATTAAATCTGTTTGTTAATACAAGCAACATAGTGAATACTGAGCTGCACTATACAATTTTGGATTAATTTAATTTATATTATAAAATATCTTACAGTATTTAAGCTGTATTGTGTGGTATAAAGCAATTAAGTATTATGTTTTGTTTAGAAATCTTCTAAAAGATAAGAAACTCTTTATTCGGGTTTTTTTACCGTTATCATTGACTTTGTATTTCAATCCAATGGTATATTTAGATTATTGCATGTTGAAGGTTGAAATAAATTATAAACCTGTTTTTCTGATGTTCAACTTAATCAAAAAACGATCATATGTTCAAATTTTGAAAAGCTTTATTTATACCATACTTTAGTTTATTTAAACAAATTGATAAAATTACTACCATTAATATGAAATCCAACTAACCATAACGTAACTAGACAATGTAAACATGGAAAATTATCAATCAAAAGAATGATTTTAATCATTTTTGACTGAAGATTACTTTAAGCTATCGCTTACATTTAAAATGATTACGTTTACAACATAAACCAAAAAGGAAATACTGATATTGTGAAGCTTAAGGTAAGTGTTATTGAACAATTAGAGAATTGAGTTCATCAGTCATAATTTCTAGTATTTGTGTTAGCATTCCTAAATAAAAGTACATTATCGCTCATTGTGTCACTTATATATGCTAGAATTCTATCAGTTATTGCTCAAAATTAACAGAATTATGGATCACAAATGTATGTTTGAATCACAAAAACAAATATTAATGTACGATTCTGTTAAATGTCTAAACACTTTGTATCAGATCACTTGATTGTTTTACTTCGCTACGCAGACTGAAGAGAAAATCGTTTCTAACCTGGTTTATTCACCTTCGAATAGACGGAATAGCAATGGATGACTTATATAAGTTGAAATTACTAAAATCTTAGTAACTGTGGGATTCTTGAAGTTAAAGTTTAATTTATTCACAGGTAAATGCTATTTTAGCAAAAAGATATTAAATAAATTATATTACTGTAGATTATTTTTTATTTTTTTTCTTCAGTGCATTTCATTTTTCTTTTCCACAAAATGCAACTAAATGAAGCAAAATGCCAGTTTTCTGAATATTCAGTTCTTAAACCAAATCAACTTTGGTGGACACATGATGGTCAACGTTTACCACCTGTTTCATTTAATCTTAACGATTACTTACGTAAATTTGTTGTAAAACAGGGTTTTGATTTAACCGCTGCCGCCGAAGGATGGAATCAAATGCTTGTATCATCAAATACTGATTTATTGTGGATACAGCAACTGTGTTTACATCCATATCAACGTTTGAATGTGAAACAGAATGGATCTTCCTCATCATCATCTTCATTAATAGGAAGAAGATTTATTCAACTGTCACCACTATTTAATGGTTTGATTGCATTTGATGAAGATGACTGGTGTAGTCGTAATACAGTATTATGGGATTCAGATGAAGAATCTGATAAAACGAATGACACTTTCGTTCATCTTATACATTATAGCATTAAATGTGAAAAGATTATCTATTGCAAACATTATAAATTTATAGTGCAGTTAGATCTAACAAATTCAGGGTCAGTTTAATAATTCTTCTCGTATTATTTTTATCATTAAAATTTGGTCAAAAATAGGTTGATTTGGATTTATTTCATATTTTTGCACTGTTCTTCATAAGTCTTGGGAGTTTATTGGCAGTTTTGAAACTAATGCTTCTTTTTCATCAGGTTCTTTCGTCAGCAGAAAGATTCCATGTGCAGTTTTATAAAAATACTCCGATCATTAGGAAATACGTTGAGAAATAGTTCAAAATGCAAAATTTACTATGATGGTAATATTTCTTTAATAAAATATCACAATAGAGCGTAGTCATATAATTATGATAACGGACAATGTACATAAGCTAAATGCCATCTGATATTCATTTCAGACTTTTCGATACATTCGGATGGGGTTTTGAGAAGTACATCATCATGTTATATGTGATCAATAACGATTCGAAATATTCCCTTTCCAAACTGACCACAAAGCAATTCGTCTTTTATGATTATCAGAAAGTAAACTTGAATGAGGATTTTCTATTCTCGTTCAAGACCTAATAATATTTAATCTACTTTTATCGACTACTTCTTGCATATGGTAAATTAAATTATCTAGTTGCGTATCGCAGTGCTTAAATGGACAAAACCATGTCGGTATGCAATGAAAATTTGTTGTCGCTCATGGATTTGATAAACAGGATTACCTAATATTTACAATAATAAGATATTGTTGCGAATTTAAAACCAGACAGATGAATGTAATGCTAAAATAATCTATTTGGAAAGCATATTTAGTGCAGTACTAAATATATCATGTATGTTTCGTCTTATATTTTACGTACATCCAGCAAGTAGCTTACATATTTTCACATATATTCAGGCATCATACTTATGCATATTTGTTTTGTCGTTCTTAAACGTAGATGAAAACATTATAAGTTTACTTATCTGACAGCCTTGAAAGTACATGAATTAATATAAAACTACGGTTAGTAATTTCTTAAGTTTATTTTTTTACCACTCCTTATCTTATATAACCACGGTTTAACTGAATAAATTAAGAGTTTAAATACTTTCTTTAATGTAACAATCCGTTAAAAGCATCGATCACATGACATGTACCCCTTCCTAATGTATAATACATTATTTTAATGACATTTCTTTATGGTGTTTAGACTGTTTTCATAAATAACTAGGATATCCTTCCTAGAAACTATTTGTATTGACGGTATTGAATGAAGATCTGGCTTAAGTAGCAATTCTTATTCTTGTAACTCTATCATTTATTGTAAATATGATTGGTATTATTGTTAACAATGCAAATCATATTGTATTCTTTCTGTAATATTATTTTTTTTTTCAAAATCAAAATTACATTTCAGTCCAGTTTATCAATGTTTGTATTTTCAACTGCTTAATAAAAATGATCCAATAAAAATTATCAATATTCTACAAAGTAAGTATTTCTATACTTGATGCTTTCATCAAGGTTTTATCATTTGGCTATTAAGAATACTGATATGATACAGACATCAATTTTCAAGTCAGGTATACAGTAATCATATAAATACATCCATTATGAATTTGAACAACAGAAGAACAACAGTTGAAGCAAAATATTCTAAATTCATTAAATATTGCAAATTTTTCTTGAGCAATTGACCAATTTATTAAAATTAAAATATAACAATTTGCAATTGATTAATCACTAGGCGGTGATCAATGTCAGGTGTATCAGGTCCTTCAGAGTGCAGATCAAATCCTATCGGCCAAGTTTCAATGTGGCCACCAATCTAAGTGACTTGTTATTGCATGCGCTGTGTTGAGATAAGATGAGGGTTAGAGGTAGTCAGCAGAAAACCCTGCAAACAGTTTTCGTTCTACTTGACACTCGTCAGCAATTTTTATATGATCACCACTAGTGACCATGAAAAAATTAAACAATGAATATTATAGGTGATTTTGTACAAATTTTCACAAAAATTTAATTGAGGATATAGTTGAAAAAATCTGAACAGTGTGAGATAGGTTGTGTAATATTTATTAAAAGGATACAAGTAAGTTTTAAGATTCTAGAGATTTCACATTGTATCATGAATCAAAAAATTCTTTTGAGAATTGATGAAATAATAAACAACTACGTAAAAATACCGTAAAATAATGATGACTATAACTGTAAGGTAATCAAACGTTTTAATTTGCGTTGTTGATGGTAAATATTTTTCAAACTAACAATTGATTACACATAACGGGTAGATATTTCGTCATAACAAATAATGTTTGTTGGAAGAACACATAACCAACATAAATAACTAGTAGTCTAAATTTAATTATTAGTCACATCGACTATTTAAATCAATTGCCTTCCAACTACAATATACAACAAACGATATTTTTCAACGGAATAATAAATTATCTTCTATTTGCATTGACCAAACACAAATTTTTCAATCAACTTTGATGAAAATTTGAACAGTGGGACTTATTTATTTAGGCCTATTGCCCTTCGTAACCAGGATTCTCCTGTCAACTTTTTTTGTGTTCTACTTCCTAGTTGTTTCAAATTCCTGTACATACTTTTGAATGATAGGACTTTAAGATGCATTCATTAACAAAATTAAGAACTTTCTGACTTTTCAGATGGTACCTACTTTTTGAATCAATGACATGTGATCATATTTAACACATGTACATCTTCAACTAATTCACTTTGATATTACCAATGTTCCACATTTTGATATTATTCAGCGATGCATAGTGAGTACAGTTAAACTTCACAAGCTATCCAATTAAACGAAAAAGATTACTCAATATACAGTCACTAGTATACTAAACAATTCTTATAATGAATTCACTTGGTATTGTTTACTTGAAACTTCCCATTGATGTTTAGGACTGCAATTGATCAGTCTCTTATTGCCATATGTGCATACTGTGCGTATTGTCTCTATATTGCCTTAATTCACAAGATGGATAGTACCTAGCAGTAGAATCTAGGACGCAAGTTTCGACCTATTTGGGACTCGTCAGCCGGATGTACCTGCATCTCTTATAATCTGAGAAAATGTTATTAATGTAAAATATTGAACCGAAGCTTCTTGTAATGGTTTTTTTTCAAAAATTAAAAACAATCCATTGTTTCCATGTTTTTGTATAACGTAACATGTATATGAAATTGTTTTCTTTTCTATCATACTAGATAGTTGAACACATTAGATAAAATATAGAAGTAATAAATTAATATTATGTAAACAATTTCATCATTGACAATATGTTTATTATGTTAACAGGATAAATTTGATAATTTTATTTATATCTGCCCTTTATTCTATGAACTAAAGATTTTTCAATAGAACAAGAACAACAAGATTTGTAGAACATAAAATGAATTCATTCTATTTCATGATCCCTCATAAGCTAGAGACAACCTAATGTAGTTTTTTGATCTTCATTTTCTCATTCGGTCTAGAAGATTTCATGTGAGGGCTTGCCTTGTGACGCAGTTGGGTGCTTTTCTCATTATGTGTCCTATCCACTTCCAGAGCTTCTTCCTGACTTCTTCCTTCACTAGAATCTAGTTTTTGTTCTCTTCCACTGTAGGTTGTTGCTGATAGTATCCGGCTAACGGATCTGAAGTATTTTGCGTAGAAAATTGTTGATGAACACTTGTATCTTCTGAATGATAGCTTTCATAGTTCTCCAGATTTCCGCTTCATACAGCAGAACTGTCTTGATATTTGTATTGAAAATTCTGACCTTGGTGTTGGTTGACAGTTGTTTTGAGTTCCAGATGTTCTTCAGTTGTAAATATACTGCTCTTGCTTTGCCGATCCGCGCATTTACATCTGCATCCAAGCCACCGTGTTTATCAATCACGCTGCCCAAATATGTAATGGTTTTTACATCTCACAAAGCTTCTCCGTCATGTGTGATTTGATTAGTGTGCGTTGTGCTTCATCGGAAAGTCGTGCTTTTCCCTTTGTGTATGTTGAGACCTACTGTTAATTAGGCTGCTGCTACGCTGGTTGTTTTCTCTAGCATTTGTTGATGCGTGTGTTATAGAAGGGCTCGATCATCTGCAAAGCCTAGATCGCCCAGCGGCATTCTAGCTGTTCACTGTATCCCGTGTTTCCCCTCAGATGTTGACGTCTTCATGATCCAGCAGATCCTCAGGAGAAAGAGTGAGAGTAAGCAACCTTGCCTGACACCAGTCTTTAGCTCGAACAAGTCTGTCAATTGTCCTCCATGCACAATTTTGCGGTTTAATCCATCTTAAAAATTCTGTATGATATTGACTATCTTCTCAGGCACTCCGTAATGTTGAATAAGCTTGCATAGTGTTCTTCTTGCTCTGATTAAATTTGTCAAGGAATTTTATTGAAACTTCATTCTTACTGAGAAGAGCTGTTTGAATGATTACAGAAGTATATAATTTGTTTTCACACTGGTACGTAAACATCTAAGGAATTTGCAGAAAATCAGAGGGGATTCTCCTACCTAATGGAAAATTAAGAGAAATTTAACCACTTGTTTTGACAATGATAAAATTGTTGGTCTAAATGTAATATGAACAATAAATTTTAAAGGTTCATAATGCAATTACATATCTCGACCATTTTAGGGAACAATTTTTAATTTATTATATTCGTAAGTTGCTTCAACCAGAACGTATACAACAAAATACCGTTTATAAGATATAAAGAATAAAATAATTTTCACTTCCTTAATTTTCATTTAGTAATCTTACGAGAATGTTGTTCTTTTACCTAGGTAAACATGTCAGTCTACATCCTGATGAATCACTATGCGATGACAGAGCTGAATTTGATTCGATTCTCTGGATACGTAAGTAAATATTTCTCATAACTAGTATCCCATTGTCTCAATCAAGTTCATTTGTTTTAAATCACTTGAACTTGTCAATGAAAATCATATAAAAGTTAACGAACGTAAATTGGATCTGTATCGTGCTAATCCTAAACTATATCTTACATTGAAAACTTATCACTTCAAAGAATCGTATAAACTCAATTTTAAACTCTACTATTCATTTTTAATTCACTTTAAAATGATAGTCTAACACGAATCATCAATTCATAGATCGAACCTTTTATTATTATTTTTTATTGATTGAATGATGTTAGACATTAACATCAATGGATTCCAACTCAGTAGTTTAGAGTCAAAGCATTTGCATGTGAGACCAAAGGTCCTGGGTTCAAGTCCCACATGCAAACTACTGAGGAGTCCCATACTAAAAGAAAACAGTCGTCCAGTGCTTCCAGGTTTTCAATGATATTTTAGCTTAGAGTGACTCATGATTTCAACTATTAGAATAAAAATAATAAGTACCAAAATCTAACTTTAATCATTGTAATTATATCTCAGTACATTACGTTTGTATATTTTTATGATTATCTAAAAGTGTAACACTTTTTATTTTCATTATTAAAAGCTTTTCCCTATACACAAAATTAATTTATATACTTAGCATTTGTTTGGATAAAAAGATGAAAATATTTCTTTTTCGAGGTGGGGGTGGGGTGGGGAACAATCAGATTTTTCTTCAATTACTTGTTATCATTTTGATGGGAAACAATTTAGGTTAAGTAAATGTTAGACCAATTCAAATTATTTCAATCATTTCAATTTCACACACACACACACAAATTGATATTTCAAAATGTTTATTTGATTTGACAAAAAAAATAGTCAGGTGAATTGTAAAATAATTTGAATTTTTTTGTAGTCTAGACAAGTGTAAGAAAAAAGAAACAAATTCGTTAAAACAATTTCTGGGTTATTACATTTTTTTTGTTGTTGTTGAGGAGGAGGAGGAAGAAAACATGATAAAGATTTTCATTCTTTGATTATAGACTTAATGAAATAGGCATTTATTTACTTCTATCAATACACAGTCAATGTTTGTTGGATATCATATTATTATTTCTAATATAATATATAGGTTTACGTATTCTATGATAGTTGTTCACTTTATTGAATATTAGTTTATTAAAAGTTTTAAAGAATTCACAATGAATTCAAACCAAAATTCAACAAGATATTAACTTCAGTCAGTTTTAAAAAAATGTCTGTCATGGAATCAGATCTGTGCAGTAACATTAAATAAACAAAGAATGTCAGTATTTAATCCAAATAATTTGTATTAACTTATCAGTGAGTCCAGGAGTCTCAGAGTCCCCGAGTCCAAGAGTGAACGTCAACTCTGAGATGAAGATACATTCAGCTGACGATTCTCAAGTAGGACGAAACACGCGTCCTGGATTCCACTGCCAGCCACTATTCATCATTACTCACTCACTTACTTACGTACTTATGCCTGTTACTCCTAATGGAGCATAGGCCGCCGACCAGCATTCTCCAACCCACTCTGTCCCGGTCCTTCTTTTCTAGTTCCATCCAATTCTTGTTCATTTTTCTCATGTCTAATTCCATTTCCCGGCGTAATGTGTTCACTATCCATCATTGCTTACAGAATATCATAATGGTTTTGTCAATACATTGTTATAGTGTATAATTAACTTAGAAAAACCAGTAAACGGATTTCGTAGTTGTTGTTTCCCGGCAAATCTTTGAAATAGTGACCCGTTCTGTTGTACACATAGAGAGATGGAAATAAAACCAGAAATACATTCAAGAACTTGAGTATTAAGAAATCATAATATTTGTTATAAATAATAAATCACAAAGATTAATGTACTAACATTGTAAACAGAATAAATAATTGTCTAGATATATCCGTTTATCACTTACTGGTCAGTATATCTTATCATCAAAGTGTATTGAATCTATTCTAATAATATCGGTTCAATTTTAACATCTAGAGTAATGAGGCCAATATTGTTTTCCATCATTATCCTAACTCCTAATGCATTTAGTTTTATTTGTATTTCTCATAAAATAAACTTAAAAAATAATGTGTCATAAAAATGTTCACATTATATTAAGCTCATATATCAAATAACCCTGATAATTATTACATAATCTATAAAGTCTTAATCAGCCTTCTTCATTTTCATTTGAAATAATAATACTAGAAATAACTGGGAGTTACCAATTTAATACAGCTTGAATAGCGGATAGAAAAAGTAATAAAAAACAAACACAATGTAACAACATTATTGAATTACTTTGTAAGAATTACAGTCTCACTTACAATTATTTTCAAAACAGTCAGTCTGTTCATTGGAAAATTAATGCTGATATTTTTATAGTTTTAACAGATAACAAACAGATCAGAGGAGAGTTTTATTGTTGCAAAAGTCTGTTTAATCATTCGAGAATTCAAGAATATTAACTGAATAAAAAAACATTATTGAATAGAAGATTTATGTTTTGTTCTTATGTATACTAGGATAATCATTTTAAGACTTTATATACAGTTAGATTATAATCTTTTATATGATTATCTTTAAATGAAAATTTGTATTTACTATGAAACATTATTTAAGTAATAAAGTATCAAAACTAAGTCTTTAGATGAACTGACAGTATTTAAGAATATTTACATAATTAGCTTCAAGAAGATTTCCCTTGAATGTAAAGAATATTCATAATAATACGATTATTATTACTATCAGCTTTATTCAATATTATATTTTTGGTACAATATAGAATTCTCAGCGCGAAGTATTTCAACAAGTTTCCGTTTCTTTCTTCTTGGTCGGTCCTGGCGATAAATATTGAGTGATCGCCAGTTAGATGTTAGCAGTTCAGTAAATGAACATCTGAATAATGTGCATTCTTTTCGTTGTATATTGTTAGCAACCACATTATCTCTTATTGGGTTTTTTGTAACTTTGACAACGAAAGGTTGTACACTTTTCAGAAACGCAGCAGAATAGGTTATGCGATTAATAAACATAATGATGTGTTAAAACGATCAAAAACAGGCAACTTGTTGAAATATCCAGATGGCAGGAACAGGTAGCCCAGATGCTCAAGCAGGCCGCCCTTTAACGTGATATCTATCAAAGTCTAATCCATTTTACTTTTATTAATTTTAATAAACAGTCAAGCTCAATTCATTTATTAAGACCACATGATAATACATGTAAATATAAATATTTTATTGAAAATAAGTTTGTTGGCCACTAAATAGTTTTGCAAAAATTATCTTATTAGATTATGGTCTCATTTAAAAAATTGCCGAATCATCTTTTGTAGATTGTTTCATAGTTATTTCCCCTTTCATATATTCTATTTACTTAACTAAATATCTCAATAAGCTTTAACAAACTATTCATCGTAAAAACACATTTCAAGTTTTAACCGGATTATGAACTATTAGTGTATTGACTTATATGATTGACTCATATTTGTGAGTAGAATATATGAGTGTCTCTATATATATAAATCCGTATGAACGTCACAATAGTTAGCGATCCAAGCATTTCGATTTTTTTATAAAACAGTAAAATAGCTTAAATAGTATTGTAGTGAACGAGAACACAAGTGGGAGACAATTGAATGTATGTGAACGCAAAATTACAGAACATCTTACTAAAATCTGAGAATCATACAGTAAATATCTAATTTGGAAAATGTCAATCACTTGTCTCAAACTTGACTGTTCCTTTTATAAACATTAGTCAATCGTCTCAAAGTTCATTGTTCCTGCATTTTCATACCACTTGCTTTATGTTGCAGTTCTTTCTTTCTCGACCTTTCTTGCCAGATATTTTAATCCTGACTATCGTTATATACTACTCATATTGATATATGAGTAGCACGCATCACAGTGTGTGAACTAAGAGATAACTTTAAATTGACTCTCTAAAAAGAAAGTATCTTGTTTGTAAGTTAAAGTTTAAATTCCTTATCCAACTAGTAAATATTTCCAAATAACTTTATCTAGTTTGTAGATATAAAATGACTTATTTTAAAAACAAAACAATAAACATGCTATTTGTTCAACAGTTATTACATAATCATTTATATTTTACTAATAATTCTGTACTTCAAACCAGTGCAAATTGAAATCTTTTTTGATATTCAATAAGTTTATATCTTTGAAATCAACTACCTCATCATTTTTTCTAATAAATAGTTTAATGAAGATTAAAACGTTTTCAAAGTGTAAACGATTGGTCCCATTTGCATAAATAGAAGAGCCAGTTGAATTAATGATCGTTTTTTATATATCTATATCGACATCTAAGTACCATCTGTGTTACTTTGACAAGTCTTGAATACAAAAAATACATGTTTTTCTTTTCTGGAGTTATATATTATAAAAACACTAGAATCAATTGTAGATGATTCGTGAATACAACATGCTTATTTTTATTTATTTTAATTAATTCATTGAAGAGATATTCGAATGATAAAGATGATACTATTGATCAGATTTATCAAAAAGTTTAGAAAATATGAATATGAAAAGAAAAGAAAACTCATAAAATTTAGACAATTATGACTATATACTTCGTTAATAAATAATGTTAATAATGTTCATGTGATCGTCTATAATCTGGAACAGTTTTCTAAATGTATTCCATAGAATAATACGCTTGAATGGATTCAATCCAAAAGAAATAAGAAAAAAAAAAAACTTATTCGCTTAGAAAATTTATTCTTCTCAGTTATCAAGTTGTATCTTTCTATTTTGTTGGACAAAATCTAAATTTATATCCTAATGAGTTGATTCCCAATAAACTTCGAAAACAAAACTCAAAAATAATAAAACGTTCAATTAACTAATTTTCTTGTGTGCAATATTCTTGTATTTAACACTCTTAAACAATAAATAAATAGAACTTATATGGTGTGTGCTACTTAGATTGACATAAGTAGTATATGGTGTAAGTCCGGAACAGAATGTC